TTATTATGGTATAATAGCACAAAATAAACAAGATAACTTTTTTTATAATTCTTAAAACAATAAAACGTAGATTTACCTATTTTAAATATATTTTTTAAGTGCAATTTACTGCAATAGAACTTAACAGTATGTACCAGTAAAAAAACACAAAATTAAATCTAAAATACGTTATAACATCAAATGTTAGGATATCAGGTGACACAAATTACTAATTTCTAATTCTGGAATTGGAGATTGTATACTTTGCTGCAAATCTATCAATGGAGATTGTCGGCAGGATTTGGCTCTTTTTGCAGCACATAAACTTTATCATCTTATAGATAATTAGTTGAAGTATAGTCTCCGCCAAAAATCTAATTTTTGACCAAAAGTGGGGATTGTCGGTTTTGCTTTGACAGGCCTCATATATGATATATATACGCAATGACTAGTGTATGGTATAGTTTTAACAGTTATGCATTAGACCTCGTTTTAATTTTTAATTATTTCTTTCTGAAACCTATATACATATGTAATTTTTTTATGTAACTGGCTGATATTATCATATGATCCTTTAGGAGCATTAAATACTATAAAAAATATATTTACAAAAATTTTTATTTAATATTTTACTTACTAGTAAAATACTAAACTAAAATAAACTGAAATTATAAAACTATGTGTATTTATACATTAGGTATATATATTTTGCTTAGCTAAGGTCCTTATTATATTATGGGATACAGAAATTATCTTTCTATTTACTTACTGTATACTATTATGTAACTGCATTAATACTATATACATATTTATACCATATGATACCAAAATTAAAAATCCCACATAATTGTCAATTTGTTCACAAAGTTCGCATAATTTATCATAATCTTCTCTTATTTTTACCCAATCATTTATATTGCTGCCCTACAATTTGTTACATTAATTTAAATATATAAGAATATTGGCCGTTTACATGTTTACACGTCACAGCGTCATGACGCGTCACTTCGTCACACATTATTCTTGACGACGCGTCGTCAAAAATAATGTGTGACGAAGTATGAAGAGGGGAGGGGGGTCATTAACTACGTGTCGTTACGTTAGACTTATACAATTTCTTATTCAAATTTTTGAATATAATTAGAATTTATGAGGGGCGCGGGTGGTACGTTTTGTGACTTCGTGGACGACCAGGGTCGTAAATAGTGTGAACGGCCCCAATTATTTATACACAACCTTCAATTTGACTTTTTTAATATGTTGGTTTAATTGCTGAAATCTTGCAGCTATGGCTGTACTTATAATCATAAGAAAAATATCATTTACAGCCCAAGTCAAAGTCCCATATAAAATTATAAACTATAAAAACAATCATTATAATACATTTTTAGTTTTTATAAAAAATACTTACAAAAATGTAGACCGCAATACAGTCGTTTATTTTTATAATACTTAATAAATCTGGGTAAACAAACATTATATATTCTTTGAAATTACAGTTCCTTTCACACGAGTCATACATAAGAATTGTGTTATAAGCTATGCTTAAAAGATGTTCCACTAAAATATAAACAGTTTTTACTCCCAGTTGATATTTTACATTTTGGTTTTAGCTAATATAATATATTATATTATGTATTTTTTATGGGGAACTCTTAGGTAGGTCCAAATCCGATATGTCCAAACTCGATAGGTTCAAAAAGTGCATAAACTGTTCATCGAACATGAAAGCTTCTTAGATCTAAATTGTGTGGCAATGTCGTACTTTGGTAATTGGTAAGGCTGGTTTCACATTTTTATGAAATTTATTTTCTTATATAATAAAAATAAATTTCTCGTATCCTATATTTAAATATAATTATATATATAATATAATTATATTTATAATATAATTATATCTTACATGGTAAAGGATCCACTAACAATGTTTTAAGAAAGAAATAATAGCAACAAAATGGTTAACACTCATGCAAATTTGAAAATTGGAAAGCAAATTGGTTATATTAAAGACGTATTGCTGCTCTACTAGGAACAATCATAAAACCTTTTTACTGTTTGGTTCTGTAACATTCTTACATAGAGGGCAAGTAGTCCTAAGACCAAATGCTCTTATGAGTCGGCTTTAACAGATGCATTAAAGCCAACTTTCTGAGCACAATTAAAACCAATAGGCATCTGATAAACCTTAGGTGTTTATTAGGGGGAAGTTGCCCTAAAAAGCATTATTGGTTAACAGTAATAAATCAATGTTAAGATCAAACGGTTATAATTCCAAAAAGGGTTTAATACTTTACTTTAAAGTCGCTCATAAAGCCTAATCATAAAGCTTCATTATCCCAAGACCAACTAGCACAAAGTAGAGCTGCAATAAAATAAAAAGCATGTTTTCATGCATTTATAAAGCTTGCATATTGTAAAGCATTATTGGTGGCAACCCTTTGCTTCTTGGGATGGTTTGTAGGGCCTTTTTATTATAAATTTATATGTAACAAAACTTATTATTAGGTATTATTAAGGTTTTTTAAGTATCTTATAAGCTATAGGCGGGCTTGAGCACAATTCCGCGCGTGCTGAGTTTGAACCTATCGAGTTGGGACCTATCAAGCTGGTTTTTTATGATGTCTTAATTATAATTTTGAACTATTATAACAGTTAAACTTTTGTTACAGTTGACCATTAAAAGTTTGGTTGCTTTCCAAATTTACCTTCCTGACTAAATCAATCACTGTCCATCCTTACAAAATATTGTCGTTTTTGATACAAGATAAAAAATAATATTTAATTTATTTTAAATAAATTTGTAAATTTAAAATCATCCAAAAACTTATTATTATTATTATTATAATGTACTAGTATACATACCCAAAGCTAAAGTTCCATATAAAATAAAAATATATTTAATCGATTTATTTAGTTTTTTTTGGGTATTTGTACTTTAAATTCATCATTTTGTCAACTTGGCACCATTGTTTCATTAAATTGGGCCAAGCTCTTGCTAATCTTAAGTACAAAATAACATTTAAAAGACCTTGCAAATAAAATATTTGCGTTGCTAAAAATAATCATTACATTAAATTTAATTTATAATATATTTTATTAAACTTACAAAATAATCCAAGTGAAAATTTTAACTTTACTGCAACTGCAAAAAATAAACTTAAAATAACAACAAAACCTATTATTAAAATTATAGAAATTAGAGTTCTTAGATGTATGAATTTAAATTCAATTTTATTAACGTTTGAAGGATTTAGAGCAGGAAAAATGCCGATCATTTGTATAAATGCCATAAAAAATCTAAGTGAACGACAAATGTTTTCTTCAGGTATTTTTTCATATTTATAAACTATGGATTTAACTACTATTGGTTCCGGTCCCATTTTCAAGAATTATGTTATAAGTTTGTATTGTAAATGTAGTAAGTACATACTATAAATTAGGTGTATTTACTAACATGACTATCGTGCAACAAAATGAATAATTATTTATTTACTGTTTTATAAAATATAAATATATTACTTTGCTGATATCAAATTTGATGTAAACATAAACAGAATTTTATTTAAAACTGAAAATATTTAAAAAAAAAAGCATTCATTATGTCATAGTTTTTGATTTTAGTGTTTAATATTATTGATTTTCCTTATATGGGGCAAAACACCTCAAGTGTTCCCACCTAAAAATGATGATTTCTCCGATTTTAACAAAGCTTTGCCAAATAATTGTCCTGTTGGACTACCTTAATTTTCCAAATGGGGGGCAAAAAGGATTAGCGGGTTGCAGAGATACAGGGGCCTGAAAATTTATTTTTTTTCTCGTGCGCTTAAAAGACGTCGAAATATTCATGTATATAATATTTTTTTTAAAAATTGATAATCAACATATCATATAGCATTTTTTCCACGCTTTACGATAAAAATGGTCTCGAAAGCGAGAAAAAATTTTTTGGTTATAAAAAAAAGATTTTAAAAATATATTTGTTTTTTTCTCGAAATGCGACACATTGGATTTTTTCAAAATTAATATCAAAATAAAGCTTTTTGAATTCCCTAAATTTTGATGTAATATGAAGATGGGATCCCAAGAATAAGTCGAAAAAAATAAGGGTTGAAAATAAATAAAAAAAATATGATATGATATGATGATTTGGCAAAGTTTTGTTAAAATCGGAGAAAACATCATTTTTAGGTAGGAACACTAGAGGTGTTTTGCCCCATATATGTTATCCAATTCCAGAATTTTTTTTTCGACTAGGTACCCATTTAGAAAGTTTTAAAAAAATATTCAAGCCAGAGTGTTAAATATATAAATAAATGAATAATTTAAATAAATCTTGCAAAGTTGAAATTGTAAAAGTTTTTTATACCTAAATGGTTTTACTTAAAGCAAAAAATATATTTATAACAAAATATTGAATTAGTGAAGTAATCCTCGAAACCGTATAGATTACCTTATATTAAAGTCTGAAAGATTTTATTACATTAAATATTTTAAATAATTCATGGTTTTTAAATAATATCACATATAAAATTTAATTTATATGTTTAATTTTTAACATTAATATTTAAAATGCTTATTTGAAACAACAATCCTTTTATTTCGTTCATTTTAACCCTTTGTCGCCTAATAAAATCTAATAATGTTAACAATAAAACCAGAGGGGTCATGGGGGTCACTCCCCCTTAAAACAAATTTATTGATAAAAAAAATAAATACAACTTTCATTACAATCCAAACATTATTAAATCGTAGTAATTTTTGAATAAGGTAGATTTATTTTGAAGGTGTATGTATGTCTAAAGACCTCGCTAAAGACCGAAACTAGTCGCAAATAAATATTTACAAATAATAAGGAAATATTCATTACATACACCTTCAAAATTATTAAATCGTTTAAATAATACTTATAATATTTGTTTTTTGAAAGTACATAGCCACCCCCCCAAACTAAATTTCTGGATCCGCCCCTGACAATATGTATATACTATTAATTATAAATTATGAACATATACTTCATGCATTTAGAAAGAAACATAGGTATCCCAAATAAAATAATAATCATCATTAACATTGAAAAAGGCCTTTGTTATTAGGTACCAGCAATAGTTAGACCTACACAGCATTCCTTCAGAACAGTCCTTATCAACGTTGCATTTAACATTTACATTGTCATAAACTTTTGTTAAGGCACTTTTAAAAACTTCATTATTTTCATCGACCTCCAAATTATTACTTTTGCAACTCTCCTTTGTATTTATGCAAATGGATAAATTTGAAGCAAAGTACTGCGCGTTTACAGGCAACTGGTATTTAATGATGTTTTTGCGGTCCATAAAAGTTTCATCGGAAGAATAACTTAAAATTGACATATCCAAAAGGGATTTTTCCACGTTTTTTAAGCATTCGCATATCCAGTTGTTTGGATGAATACTGGCACTTTTAATGTAAGCCTTTTCAAGCAAAACTGAGTCCAAACTTCTCAAATAATTAAAAGCAACGTTGAATTTCTCCACGTACCTTACATTTTTTAAAAGGTTTGGACTTAAAGTTGTAATTCTGTTAAACGACAAGTCAAATATAAGCAAACTTAAAAAACTGTTAAATAAGTCATTGGAAACGTATTCAATTTCGTTAAAACTAAAATCCAACTCCTTTAAATAAGGAAAATCGTAGAAGGCCCATTTGTTTATAGATTTAATCCGGTTATGGTGCATATTAAGAACCCTCAGCTTGCTTTTCTTTCCTTGGTTAAGAAACCATCTTCTGTCAAAATGCGTCAAAGAGTTTTTATCCAGATAAACTTCACTTAAACTATCCATTTCCGAAAAAGCTTCGGAGTCAATTGTGTTTATATTATTTGCAGCAAGGTATATGTAATATATGGGAAGGTAATTAAAAACTCCGTTGGGTATTACTTTTAGAAGATTACCACCTAACCAAATACGTTTTAAAGAGGCCAAGCTAGAAAACGTTCCAGGCTCAATTTCCGTCAAAAGTCCGGGTGTGCCGATGATGCTCATAATTTCACTCATTTCAGCAAAAGTAGTTTTATTTAAGGACACAGTATCTGGAGATATGCGATAATGTTGCTTGTTTGGGTTAATAACTTCACATTGTGATTGTCCATTGTCTGTGCACTGGTAAAAAGTAACTCCTTTGTAAACAGAACTTTCACATAAAGTGGCGAGGAAAAGAAACGCAATCAGGTGAATCATTGTGAAGAAATCTTCTGACTGTTTCTTTCTTGAGGTAAACAAACTTGAGAATGTGCATTTCTCGTTTGGCAAGGTACAGGGTGACCTTATCGTGACTGAAGGTTACACTGGGCAACAAATGTAATTTCTTAAGAAACATCAAACATTTTTTGATTTAAAAAATATGGCTTTTTGAATTTTAGTTTCTAGTTTAGTAAACATTTTTAATTACTTTCTAAAAAATTGTAACAAATTATGAGATTTAAGCATTTTATGTGGAAGAAAACACTTGTTTATTATAATTTGTCAATTTATGTTTAAAAAGTTGTATTTTGGATATTTTTTAAAGGGTTTTAAAAAACTGTGACGTAATGATGATTTTGATATTTTTTTTACTTATTAAATTGAAAAATACATATTGGGCCTGAAATAGCAGAATATATACAGGGTGATTCAAAACTCGAGGCGAAAAATTAAGAAATGTATACAGTTTTATATTCTTGATAAAAAATGTAAAATAACATTTTTGGAGATATGGCTTTGTTTCCGAAATATTAGACTTTAAAGTTTCTGTATGCGACCAATTTAATTTCATAAATTACAGTAAGCCTAGAAATAAGTGAGTTTACTATCACCTGGTGACAGTCAACAAAAATTGTTTACAAATTTATAAGTTGCTTTGTTGGATTAGTTGTTTTGTTAATCATGCAGAATACAGTCCGTTCAAGCTAAGTTGAGCTCTGTGGTGGGGGATTAAATTAAATATCGAATCGTCGCGAGATTTCGGTAACAAGAAGATGATTTATCAGTGAGTGAGCTTGACGTTTGTTCGTACAGAGCGGCTACCGAAATAGACATGTATTTAATTGTGCCAGAACATAGAGATGATGGACGGGGAGACATTCCTTAGACCGCTTAACTTAGCCTGAACAGACAGTATGCATGCCGTAATGAACAAGTATGGTCTTTAGAAAATCCTCACGCAGTTTTCAACAAATGTTCTCTATTAATGTATGGGGCGGAGTCTATAACGGACAATTACTTCCGATTCAAGTCCTTCCAAATCGTTTGGATGCATCCAATGCATGAGTATGCGTAGTTGCAATTTTTAGAAAACAATCTCACAAATTTGCTGGAAGATTTTCCTGTGGATTTGGTATACAATCGTATGTGGTATCAGCACAACGGAGCACCACCGCCTGTTGGACGAAATGTTGTCGCCTGGTTAAACCAAACTTTTAATGGTAGATGGATTGGTCGGTGTGGTCAGAAGCTATGGCCTGCGAGATCACCTGACTTGAACCCTTTGGACTATTTTGTATGGGGCCATTTAAAATAACTTACGCAGTGGAAATTAATAACCAAGAACAATGCAACATGCAATTAGTGTACGATTCCCTTATTTTGCGTTGCCAAGCCTGTATTTGTGGTAATGGTGGTATTTTTGAACATTTGATTTAATTTTTTTTTATATTTTTATATTATGTAATAAAGTTAAAAATTTATCACATGCAAATACTTTGAAGTCTAATATCTCGGAAACAAAGCCATATCTCCAAAAATTTTATTTTACATTTTTTATCAAGAATATAAAACTGTATAAATTTCTTAATTTTTCGCCTCGAGTTTTGAATCACCCTATATATATATATATATTTAATATATTATATCATATTATAAATGCATATTATATGCACATACACATTTATCTACATTTTCATACAATTTGTCATTTTTTTTGCCTTCTAGATTTTAAGTTATTAACACCATCTTTTGTTTTTTCAACGCAATCAAATCAAAACAAACCCGCGTGTCAAAATTTATGTATACGGTGATATTTATTATTTTTATCTTCTCCTATTGCATGATATTGTTTTTTTTTCGTGGATATTCATAAGCATTATAAATTCCCTGCCTGACAATGGGAATACTAAATATTCAATATTCACTTTGATTTAAACCAATCGGGTTTAAAATTGGAAGAAGGCGACTATAATAACATTTAAAATTTTTCCAGTTTAAAACTATATTTTAGGTTTTAAATATTTAAAGGATTCAAATTTTTCAATAAATTTGTTTAAAAATTATGGAATACGTGCGTACAGATAAATATTTAATCCATTTTCTGGAAATATTTTTCTTAAAAATAACATGAAAAACCAAACCCAATTGCGATTTATTGATCAAAAATAAATAGTACAAAATCAATCAAGGCAAGCAAAGCGAATGGGCCATACAATTTTTATATATAATATTACTTTCATTTTATGATTTTAGACCTTTGTTGAACTATGTTTAGAGATGTAAAAAAACGGTTTTTTTCAGATGTGAAATTTTTTGTTTTTTTTTCAAATCAGCTACAATAAAGCATATTCTGTCAATAAATCAACATCAATCTTAAAAAATGGAGTAATTTTTCAAAATAAAGTTTTGAGTAAAATGTATATTAATAATAAAGTGAAATGTAGAATATAATATATATATAATATTATATAATAATATAATATAATATTATTAGGTACATTTTTCATTATTGAAAATTTTGACCGAGACTAAAAAATCTGATTTCTTATTATATGGTAGTTTCCACATAAAACCAATAGCAACGTAAAACTTCTACACTAATAGAAAAAATTAAAGTATAAAAAAAATTACAATTTTTTTGCGATTTTTCGGATAGCTGTATCTTCGTTAAAAATGGTCGTATTGGAGCCGTAAAAAAGCAATTTGAAGCTTGAAGTTTCTAGTTTTGAGACTTTTAGATGAAAAACGAGCAACGCTCAATCTTAACGAATACCGTATCGAAATTGGTTTGGCTTTATTTTTTGGTCAACAGAATGTTCTGACTTAACCACTAATGAATCTACAAGAATTTGCTATTTTGAAAGAAAAAAAATTTCCATACTCTACATGAATTTGAAAAATCATGAAAAAAGTTCTATAGTTAGTTTTTTTTAGGACCAAATCAAAACAAGCGCGGCCCTTATTGGTCAATTCGGTGGTGGTGGCGCGTGCATAGCGCGACACTGTACAAAATACATATTTACATTTACTAAATGTCATAAATGTCACTAAATTTAGTGGCTAATTTTAGTCCATGAACTAGACTGGAAACATAAACATTCTTTAAAGACTAGTGCACTACATGTAGTTGAAAAACTCGTTTTATTTGCTTAAATTTTTACAGTGATATAAAATAAAACTAATTCTAAAATCCCCAAACAAAATACATGGGATCGTTTTCAAAGTAATAGGCAACTTTAATTAGTGCCCAACAATAGTCGGATCTACAAACCATACCATCTAAACAGCCACTTCCTTCCGCACACTTAACGTTAACTTTGTCATAGGTCTTGGTTAAAACTTCCTGGAAAGCCTTTTGGGCTTCAGAATTTTCACTTGAAGATTGACTATCTTCGCAGTTTTTCCAAGTTTCGTAGCAAATGGACAAGTTTGAAGCCAAATACTGGGTGTTTACTGGCAGCTGGTACTTCAGCAAATTTTCTCGACTTTTAAAGGTGTCCCCGGAAGAAAAACTTTGGACCCTATTATTGTATAAAGACGTTTCGACGTCTTTTAAACATGAACATATCCATTGGTTGGGATGAATACTGGCACTTTTTATTTTGGTTTCTTCTATGACTTCCTTATCTAGGTTATCGATAAAGTTAAAAGCAATAACAAATTTATCTACTTTCTTGACGTTTTCCAATAAATTTGAACTCAAGGTCGTTAGTTTGTTGAACGAGACATCGAACAAAGTAATATCTGCATTGTATCTAAATATATCCCCAGATATGTACTCAATCTCGTTAAAACTAAAATCAACGGTTTTTATTTTTGGAAAATTATAAAAAGCTTTCTTGTTGATGGATATTATTTTGTTGTGGTGAATATTGAGCGTTTCCAGATTGCTGGTTTTACCTTCGAGGGCAAACCATCCAGGATCGAAGTAAACCAATGAGTTTTTGTCCAAGTAGATCTCTTTTAAAGCCTCCATTCCAGCGAATGCTTCCGTCTCGATGGTATGGATTTGATTGCCCGCCAAGTAGACATAATAAACTGGTAGAAAGTTAAAAACGCCGAAAGGTATTATTTTTAAAAAATTACCGCCCAGGTAAATCCTTTTCAGGCTCGGTAGATTTGAAAAACATTTAGGTTTTAACTCACGCAAACTGCCCGGTGTCACCGTTATGTCCATAAGCTCTGTTTCGTTACCGAAATGATTTTTTTTTAGAACTTTTGTTTCACCCGACACAATTAAATGCACGTTGTTAGATGTCATCGGTTCACATTCTTCCAGTTTATAGTTTTTGCATTTTCGCATCGAAATTCCATTATATGTGTAACTTTCACAAACACTTATTATCGAGAGGACACAGACAAGGACGCGGCAGTTCATAGCTAATGTCGGAACTGGAATGAGATAGGTAAAATATTTTTAGAAATATTTTTTGTACTTCTTGCGGATGATCAGACTTTGCATATAGTAACCTGTTTTGTTTTCTTCATATATGTGTTTATTGTTTAACATGTGATTGCACAGCTTATAATTTAATTTGTTTACTATTACGAATTTAAGAATGTACTTTCCATGGTGATCAAGCTATAAATCTCACGTTAATCCAGGAAGGGATTTAAAATTTTAATCTCCCATCAAGTATTATAATAAAATGTTTAAAATAAACAGTAAATAAATTTCCAGAAATTTAAATGTTTAATTTAAGCTAATATATTATGTATATATACATAGGTGTTTCTTAATATTCATAAATAAATAAAAAACAATAAATTCGGCAACACCTTTTTGAAAAGAAGAGCTCTTTAAAGATGTCCAAAAATGAAAATATTAAAATAATAATATTTAACATTTTATTTTCAATATCTCAACTCAACAAATAATCTCAACTCAACACCGAAAAAACAAATCTGTTAGGTACTGTTTGTAACAAATAAATTTTTTGTTGTTGTTGTTGGTTCTAATAAGAAATTTGTTACCCAAAGTAAAGTATTTAATAAAATTGCAACAAAACTGAATTTGTTATTATTTCGCGCTTATCACAGAATGCGTTGCCGCAAATATGTATCCTTAAGTTAAAGTAACAAATATATTTTTGTAGGTAATTCCTGCAAAAATACGCCAATCAGAGTTGCTTTGTCAAGGATATTGTATTGTTTTGGTTTCGATGCAGGGCAGCGGGTGTTTCATGTGGGAGTGCGGGGAGTTCATTAGCAACAAACATGGTAGCCGGAGCCGGTACGCGTGCATTTTAAATGTCTCTGCTGCTCCTAAATAATTAATTAATTTTAGTAATTTATTATGCAATTTGTGCATTGTGCTATGCATGGTGGATGAAGCAATGCAGTTATTATTAACAGAGTGGGGATTTTCTTCGTTGGAAAATACTTTTAAAGGTAAGAAAATCATAGTTTGCCATAAGTTTATAATATAATTCTACAGTCAAATTGGTAAATTGCTTTATAGGTAAGTGCACTTACCTATAAAACAATTTACCAATTATTATATTATAAAAACTTATTGCAAACTATGATTTTCTTACCTTTAAAAGTATTTTCCAACGAAGAAAAAGTACATGTACCTATTGTATTGTAGGTATACGGTATACGGTAATTTTGAAAATATTTCAGAAAACAAAATTTGTTTATTTAATAATTATACCATGTGGATGGACATTATATAATGTATACATTTTGGGATTATATATTTTTAGTATTTTTTACATACATTTATTATATTATTGTTTGTTATAAAAGGAAACCTACATAAAAATATAATGTTTAAACAAATAATATTTATTCAAAAATATATTGTTCTGATTTAGTGCTGTACACTAATAAAGTAAGTAGGTACCTACTTGTAAAGAACAAAAAGAATATTTAAAAATTTAAATATTTTCTTCCTCCTCAGAATCTAGTATATTTTAAAATGCAAAACAATGCAACTAGGTGAAGAAAATGAATAAATCCAAGAGCGTTATAGATTCAGGGCTACATGGCGAAATCATTTTTGAAAATTACCGGTAAAGAAATTTGCCGGGTTAAATTACCAAACTTACCTTACCAAAATTACCGTTACCGCGGTAACATTGCCGCACTTTAATCACTAATTGCAGAACAAAAGACAAACATTTATAGAAACAAATAAATTATTACTTAAAACAAGAGCAAAACTGTTTTAAGAAGCAATAGATTATTAATTAAAACAAATAAAAACTGTTTCAACTACAACATATTATTGTATGTGATAATAAAAATATTAGTTACTTTAAACTAAACGACTTTGTTTTGTCAACAGAAAATATAAGTTACAGTAACAGATATGCTTCAACAAAAAAAACCCAACCCAACAAAGATTTTAGTTAAGGCTATAGCTACAAATAAATAAATTGTTGACGCAACTTTTTTCTAGTCGCCTGAACAAATTATTTTTCTCAGTACAATGTAGGTTTTAGGTTTAAAAAATGAAAAAAAAAAATTTTTTTTTTAATTTTATAACTTGCAGAATACTTCAATAAAGCGTTTCATAGATAATCGCGCGCACAGAATAATAATAAGTTATAAACATATATGTTTCATTTAAAGATCTTATTATGTTTTGTTAACTTTTTTCCTGAATAATTTATTGGTATAAATGTTGTAATGTAATTATTTATTTGACAAATAAATGATTTAAATGCCTCTTATCCAAAAGGCTCGAATACCTTTTTATAGAAATACATATTTTGAAATAAAATTACATATTTATAAACATATTTCAAAAATCAACACGTAAAATTAATATTTTTACGTTAAAAAATTAAAATAAAACACGATTGTTTTTAAGAAATGTTATTTAAAATTATTTTGCACCGTCTCTGGCGTATAACGTTAAAGCGTATTCTTTTCAGAAATATATAATATATATAAAGGGAAATAACAAACAAGTTTGCATATATGAGATAAAATTACAAACATTAAATTGAATTTAATATTTAATTATCAATATACAGTAGAATCAGTGGCAGGTTTATTTTTAAAATTGTAATTAAAATATAAAAAAATAATTAAAATGAACTCAACATTATATACCTACTTGATAGTAAAACCAAAATGAAATAAAACCTGTTTTAGGATGTATAAACAACACAGAAAAAATAAACAGATAAATATCTTGATTCTTGGTTTTCAAAATCTTTATACTGTTGAGTGAACGTTAATACCTTTGAGTGAACTTTTATACAGTGTAAAATGTTGCCTACGTAAGAAATTAAGATTAAAATTTATTTCAATAACAACATAATTAACCATACATACCCAATTAAAGATGGATAAACGAGTTGTGCTAGCAGTTTTTCTTCTAGCAATACGTGTAAATGGAAGATATGTGTATCGGGGTGTTAAATTATTCGAATGTGAATCGTACGATAGACAAAATTGTGATCAAATTTACCCGGGTGAAAAACACTTTCTCATACAGACTGGAACCAAAGTGATCTCAAAAGATATGTTTACAAATAAAAGTGACCTTTTAAGTGTGATTGGTACGCCTGCTGACATAGAGGACGTTCAGCAAGGGTGTTTTACTGGCCTTAAAAAGTTGAGAAGGATTTATCTGGGCGGACAGCGTTTGCAAAACATCCCCTATGGTGTTTTTAATGATTTGCCTGTCGAGTACCTTTATTTGGCGGGGAATTTTTTGAGAACCATCGAGACTGATGCTTTTGATATGAAAAATTTAGAGAGGATGTATCTGGATAGAAATTACTTGACTTATTTTGACCCGAATTGGTTTGCAGCGGGGGTGTTAAAAAGTTTAAAGTTCCTTCATATGCACCATAATAGAGTGAGAGCCATTAATCGCAAGGCGTTTTACAAATTTCCCCAACTTCTAGTGATTGACTTTAGTTTTAACGAAGTGGAATATATTTCCAACGATATATTCAACCATCAGGCTGATATCAATCATTTCTTGTTGAAACACAACAAAATTAAAACTTTAGGCACGAACATTTTGAAAACCGTTAACTACATAGATAATTTATCTTTATCATACAACTTTTTAAAATCTATAAGCTGTGAGTTTATAGACAAAACCATAATAAATAAAATTGAAATACACCCCAATCAGTGGGTTTGTTCATGTTTAAAAAAATTTGAACAGAAACTTCAAGAAAAAAACATTGAACCTCATGGGGGTGAAGATCAATCTTTGCTTTGCTACGATACAGAAAAGAAATGTGAAGAAAGTGAAAAATCGATGAATATGGACTTTGAAATATCCATGAACAATACATATGAAAATTTGGAAAAACACTGTCAAAACAACAAGGATTCCGAAGAAGGACATTTGTGTCGTTCTGATTTTTGTTGGCCGTTATTGTTAAGGTCATATGTGCATAAAACTGATGAAAATTATTTCTTTTGTATTTACTATTAGCTCTTCTTGATAAATTTATAAAATCAATTAAATCATTTTATTTCTCACTGACTGGGTCCCTAAATGGCTTACTGTTTACCGGACTTCCTGGTCAGTTTAATTATCAGTAATAGTTATTTATGTCATAAGGCTGAGAAGTGAGCCTTATGACATGAGCTGGGCTCAAAGTTTGAATACCGTAGCAAAGCACAAAAAGACAGGTCTAAACCGCATGGCATACAACATTTTATTTGCAAGGCATAATTTAATTGTTAAACAATCCATAAAATATACAATTATAAAATAAGGTGACCAACTGTGTAAAGGGGAAAACCAGAACAGTGGTGGCCTGTACGAAATTTTTTTTAGAAAAAAGGTGTTGCTCTATTTTTGCTTGTTTTTTGTGCAACTACCTGTGTTAGGTTATTATTATTTACTTTCAATTGAGTTAAAAAAACACAAATTTCATAATAGTTATTTTATATATGGGTCGTTCCACGCCCTATCGGCCACTTTTGAACCTGACCCTTTCGATTTGGCTGAAATTATGGTATATTTTTTCACCCCACAAAAATTTTTTTTAGAATGTTTTAGTTTTTTTCACCCGACCAAAAACAAGTTAAACATTTTTCAAAAAAATGTATTTTTTCTAAAAAGTTCATTAAAAACCAAAAAAAACACGCCCCATTTAGTCAAATTTTGACAAAGTTATGTGTATTTTAAAAGAAAATTGGCAATTTTTTTGAAAATTCGTAACTTTTTTTTGGTTGGGTAAAAATATTGGAAAAATTCTGAGAAACTTTTTTAGTGGGGTAGAAAAAAATTTAAAAAATTCAGTCAAATCGAAAGGGGTTGGGTCAAAAGTGGTCGATTTGGCGTGGAATTCCCCATATATAATATATATATTATATTTATAAATGAACTATTATGAAATTTGTGTTTTTAGCCTAGTTATTTTTAGATATTAGGTATAGGTATCTAATAAATTAATATGGATTTATAAAAATTGGAAGTTTATTTTATATGGTAAGCTAAATCAGAACAGACCAGAACCAAAATAGGAAAATCAGAACCTTTACTACCTTCGATTTCCTGTCAGAATGAAGACCTCAAAAACAGTATAGTTCTGATTAAATCAGAACAGTTGGTCATCTTATTATAAAAGGTTATTATTCAAAGTAGAAAGTGAGGTTAGATTTGATTGGTCCGAAGGGGTTTTTTACAGACTAGGGAGTAGACAACTTTACCAGGTTGTTGTAAATTATTTTTACAGCCTAGGATGTTGTCTAATAAACACGATAAATGCAAAAAAAATATTTATGTTCTCAATTTATTTGAGTTATGCCTTTATACATAATTTAAAATAGACAATGAAAAGTAAGGGGAAAAATTTATTATTGAAAGAAAAAAATGTTTTACTAAAAATAGGTTTTTTAAACACTTTCCTAGTTACTAAATATTAAAAAAAAAATTAAAAATAATTTCCATGTTAAAAAATAGCGTATGCAGATAATCCAGATGGCTCCATCATCGCCTCGTTCCGAATTTGTAACTGGTAAGTACAAGTCACTTCCCAGTAAACACATGACCTTGATTTTATATCACTATACGTATCGAAATGTTACGTAAATTTGACATAATAGTGACATTCTTTGTGGCTAACACATAAAAAGTGATGTGCATTCAACGTCACAAAATGATTTAAATCTTATATAATATTTATATCATATAATCCTAAAGTTATTTTTTAACGTATGTATATTTGACGTAACAATGTTTCATACTTTCATAATAATTTTATTTATTTATTGTGGTGATGTGTAAAAATTTCAAGTGCCCTGTGGAACGTGTTAATGTTAATCGATTTTGGTAAAATTTTATTATTTGTTAAGTCAGGGAGGAATATTATAATTTTGTCCCTCTCCGGCCCAAAAAGTGATCAAAAAGTGACCTCATCAAAAATTAGTACCCCCCTGTAAAATATAAATCAAAATTTGTTGCATAAATATTATTTATTTGTATGTCATGAGACTGAGAAGTAAGTCTTTTTGTGATGAGTGAATCACTTAATTGAAGCACAAAAAGACACGTCTCAGCCGAATAGCAGGCATACAACATTTTATCTTCAAGGCACAGTTTTATTTGTAAAATGTACTTGAATCCAAATTGGAAAAAAAAATTAAATGGGTGATTATCCACAAGATTTTGTGACGAAAAGTTAGGGTTAAGTATCTCAGATTTCGAGATACAGGGTGTTAAAAATGCAGGGAAAATTTAAATTTTATATTAACATCTAATAAATGTGACGTTGTAAAAATAAATGTTTTACTTGCTTAAATCTGATTGTGCAAATTTCTAAACCAACTGCTTTGCTTCTCTTAGAAAGCAGTTATTGTACCTTTATCGATTACATACTTTTATGTATGTAATAGACAACGGCACAATAACTAAGAACGAACGGCGAATCGTATACAAAATTGAAAGATATAAAAAAGTTGCAAATATGAGTAAAAATTTAGGAAAACAATTAAAAAAACACTCCCTGTATATTAAATGCAAACTTAGTACCAAATTAATCTGTTGTAGAGCATGTTAAATAACCTATTTTTTTGGTTGGATAATATTCAACCAAGTATAATAACGCATGGATACAATAGATACCTTTTGTCATGAATAAAAACACAAAAAAAATAAAATTAAAATAGAGGACTTGACCTACTTTCAATCAAAACACCTAAACATAAATAGGTAATCAATCAAAATTTAACGTCTTATTGAAAAAAAACGCAAGTATACTTACAAACGCAAACCTATAGATTATATAAAATTATTTACATTAAATTTGTTTATTTGCTTTTATGTGATTAATGCCAACTTAATTATAACGATTAAAACGATTTTCTTTTAGGCACCTATATCAAAAATAACAAATATTTTTTGAAGTAAAATAAAGAAAAACCAGGCGAAGTTTATTATTTAATGCTTCTATCGCATGCTAAACTAAGAAAATACATTTTTTAAACAATTACCTGCATAATTATCACATGACATCAGCTACAACTACATGAAGGTACCTACATTTTTAGATAATATCAGTCGTTATAAAAGCTAGCTTCCCTTGTTTATAAATTACAACAAAACATTGTATAAACATCAATCGTATTGACCTAATTAAGCAATAATAAATACATTTGTTTATTTTTAGCTGCAAGAAATGAAAAACCAAAAGGCAATTCCAAATTCTTTAAAGTTCTACGAATCCATGAAATTCCCGATAATTATATCGCAATGCTTTGGGTTTTTTCCGATAAGTGGGATTACAAACACGAACTGCCAAAATACAAAATTTAAATGGAGGACATGGAGAATGTTATACGCTTTTATAATATTTCTTGGAATGTTGGTTAGCGTAGTGACGCAATTTTTGAATTGCATTTATTATTCTCTTAATATTTATGAAACGAGTAAGACTGTTGGGATTTAGAAATAAACAGGGTGGTCCAGTTTATACAATCAGCATTTTACCAACCCTTACTGTATAAAAAATACATAGCTATAGCCTCCGGCCATAATTTATTCTATGTTTTTTGCTAATAAAATAGGTGTTGCAGTTTCTGTTATTGTTCTTATTTCGCGATCAGCTCTGCCATTTTGTTCATGAATATACGGGGAGGAAAATTAATGTTTTAGAAAATAGTCGCTTAACTCTTTGAATGTCCCATTGTCTGATCGTAATACCTTTATATTAGTTTCAAGCTGATTTAAAACAAATGCTTCAAATTCACAAACATTATTTAATTTGGTAATTTAAGGAAATGCATTTAAATTTTGTATAGTTATCTAAAGCCTCATTCAGAACCGTTTGTCTTATGAATATACACAGTGTTGTTCACAAACAAAAAATTTGTGGAAAAAGTTTGCAAACTTCTAACTTTTACCACTAATTATAATTGGAAAGCGGCTTTGCGCATGTGCGCGAATATTTTATGTAAAAAGCAAAAAGTTTGAAGATTTGCCAGTGAAGGTAAGGTTATATAAATATTATTGTAATGGTTGTACAAAATATTATTTTAATATAATTAATTACCCATTCCACGCTACTAGGGAATTTTTGTAGCGTCCGTTACAATCAAAAATTGTGAGTAAAAGCTACCGTAATTAAATTAAATACTATTGCAATAGTTACTATTGCTTGTAATAATTAGGCTTAAATTTATAAGCATAATTAGGCTTAAATTTATAAGCATCATAATTACGGTAGTTTTACTCACAATTTTTTATTGTAGCGTGGAATTGCTGTAATATTGTTTATGTCAGGTTAAGAACAATGGACAATCTTTTAGCAAATTCCCTAAATTTTAGATGTTAATTTTGCGCATTGTGAATGATCGTTTTGTGTTAATTATAAGTATAATTGAAACCGCTAATTTTTTCCACTAATTACGAGGTTCTGAATGAGGCTTAAGGAAATACATTATTAAAGAAATATATTTAGATATTATACCGGATGACTATTTTTTTCTGATCATAAACGGTTTAAGTTAAACACAACCAAGCTTTTTTATAGTGCACCGCTGGTCAAATTTAATAATTAAATAAGGTTGGTTTGTTTGTTTAAAAATTATAGTAATAATCACCCGGTATAATATGAAAAAACAAATAAAATATTTTAAAGATATAAGAAAAACCTAAAACATACAACTTTATGAAAAACTAACTTTATTTATGACGAAATTCTGGTAAACTGCACTACCCTGTATATGTGACAAAATCTCCCAAACATCCGAAGAACTGTTAAAAAGTGATTTAAGGTAAAACCACAACCCACACAACAGTGTGGGTTGTGGATAAAACAGTCGGATATAAGGTAGCACTTTTTAGCTAATTTATAATCCTTTCGAGTCGAATCATAAGGGCGACCAAAGACGAGGGGTAAACCACTGATTTTTTGAAATTAAAAATCGCTTACGAATTAACGGCTAAGGACAACAATAGGGTAGTCAAGCGCAACGCGTCGCTAAGGACTGATTAAGCACTGATTAAGCAAGTTTTCCTTATTGATAACGACTGATAAGGAAACAAATCACAACACAACGTCCACTAACATTGAACGTTGGTCTCTAAGATTTTAAAGTGGTTTTCCCCTCGACCAAAGATATACAAAAATATACATAAGTGCTCTTTTAGTTTTTCGGTAGTTAGGGCAATTTATTTCTAGTTAGGTACCTACATTAAAAAATGTAATATAACTTGTTTTTAGCTTCTTTGGTATTTTCGGTTTTAAGTATAGTGGACACTTTATTATTTTTTAAAGTGGCTTTAGAATGGCAACAAATTTGCAAAGAATGGCATAACGTTGAGAAGATAATGAAAAATTATGATTCAAATTCGTTGAACTTGAAAAGGCACATTCAAGTTTTGTCAATCATTTTTTTATGTTTTGGTGCAAGTAAGTACTTAGTTTTATAAAAGTCCATAGAACTTTGAGTTTTTGAATTTTTAAATTCAAGTAATTAATATACTACCTACCAGGGTACCCTCGTATTGCTTTATCACTTTTTAAAACGGCAATTCCAAAAGAGAATATATTTTTATTCGTCTGCATCAATTTTATTCCTATAAAAAATTTTCATTAGATAATATCTAATGTCAGGGCTTTTACAATCTCCTAAATACTTATATTTTATAATATTCATAATATATTTTTTTTAGTTGAACATTTTTTGGTTTTGGCCTATAAACTAAAGGATTCATTTAATTTGTATTCAAACGCATACGATGCCTTAAGACATTATTTTAGAATAACATCAGAATCACACATTTTTAAGTTTTTACCGTACAATATGTGGATTTCTATATTTTTTCAGGTAACTGACATCTATATTTAAACATTGAATAAAAAATACATTTTAGATGGTGAACCTAATAAGCACTTTTCTATGGACTTACATTGATGTATTTATCATGGTTATTAGTACTGCGTTGACGTACAGGTGGAAGCTAATACATTATAAAATTAAAAAGCTTAAAAAGGCAAATGTTTCAAACATTTATGTTTGGAGAACAGTAAGAGAAGACTACGTTCGTAGCTGTGAATTATTTGAATTGGTGAATAGAAAAATTTCGTATTTGGTCATACTTTCTTTTACCGGAAATTTATATTTTATTCTTGTACAGCTCTATAACAGTCTTAGACCTATGCAGCACACCCTGGAAAAGATTTATTTATACATTTCATTCATTCTTTTAGTTCTAAGGATTGTTTGCATTTGTATTTTTGGAGGAAATGTTTATGATGAAAGTAAAAAAATGAGGGCCATTTTATATTCATGTAATAGTGAAATTTATAATAAAGAAGTAAGTTATTTATTTATGTACCTACAGTAGAAACCACCAATATATGAACGTGACTCATCGGGTGCCGAACATATCTGGGGCAAAATTTCCAATTGTACCAGGTGAAAAAATTTTTGTCACCGATTTTGTTTAAACTTTACTTATTTGTTGTTCTTATAACGAAGAATCATAGCATAAAATTTTTTTGCTCTAGGATTGTTCATTCAAGAGTTATGGATTATTGAAATTTATCGATTTATTACTTTTTGGTGAAATCGCTTTTTATTTAAAAATTCATAACTTCTGTTCATCTCTTTATTAAATATTTCAATTTAACCACCTTAAATGATTTTTTCCGTACTTTTCAATGGGCTATACCGTTTTTGCAAAAAAATTAAAATTGCAATTTTTTTTTGAAATTTTGCAAAATTTTGCATTTTTTGAAACAATGTGTATTTTTTAATTTTTTTTAAAATAGCATAAAATCCAAGTTTATTATGTTACCTTTGAATAAAAAAAAAAATTAGAGTGGGCCCGACATGTACAAGGGAAGTTTTTCATATTTGAATGCCGCACGGTCTAGCTACTACACTGCCGTATGCGTTTATACCTAGTAGATGCGAGTAAACGAATACAAAATGATAATTTAAAATGTAAAATTATGTTTGAGTAGTCAATGATGTATTTTAAATATTTACACTGCCGCACGATATAGTTTTTTTTATTGTGTATTAGTCCTTCGGAGGGGACTTTAAGCCCGCGGTCCGTTCGTACCCCTAACCCGCACAAGCCATTCAGTTGGCTTATGGGACTTCTTACGAAGTAAGAGTGGAACTAAAAGAGCACTTTTGTATATAAACTGTATTTTTTTGCACAAATTGTTTAAGCATGGGTCTACATAGATTTTGCAGGGTCGATGATAAAAAATGTATTGTTATAACCGTAAAGGCGCCATTCAGCTTATAGGCAAGCTACGGTTATAATAATAAATTTTTTATTTAATATCATCGATCCTCCTTGCGAAATCTATGTAGACCCATGCTTAAACAATTTGTGCAAAAAAATACAGTTAAAAAACTATATCGTGCGGCAGTGTAAATATTTAAAATACATCATTGACTACTCAAACATAATTTTACATTTTAAATTATCATTTTGTATTCGTTTACTCGCATCCACTAGGTATAAACGCATACGGCAGTGTAGTAGCTATTCGATGGCTAGACCGTGCGGCATTCAAATATGAAAAACTTCCCTTCTACATGTCGGGCCCACTCTAAATTTTTTTTTTATTCAAAGGTAACATAATAAACTTGGATTTTATGCTATTTTAAAAAAAATTAAAAAATACACATTGTTTTAAAAAATGCAAAATTTTGCAAAATTTCAAAAAAAAATTGCAATTTTTATTTTTTTGCAAAAACGGTATAGCCCATTGAAAAGTACGGAAAAAATCATTTAAGGAGGTTAAATTGAAATATTTAATAAAGAGAAGAACAGAAGTTATGAATTTTTAAATAAAAAGCGATTTCACAAAAAAGTAAAAAATCGATAAATTTCAATAATCCATAACTCTTGAATGAACAATCCTAGAGCAAAAAAATTTTATGCTATGATTCTTCGTTATAAGAACAACAAATAAGTAAAGTTTAAACAAAATCGTTGACAAAAATTTTTTCACCTGGTACACTTGGCAAATTTTGCCCTATCTCAGACATGCTAGCAGTAATGTTTTACTTGTCTTGTACATTCGATACAACGGTAAATGTACTCACACGTAGGTTTTTAAGCATCCGGTCTAAAATGCGCAATCTGTGATGTAAAACTGCCTAGGTGTTCAACAAAGATGGACATATGACGCGTGTCCTAGCTTGTTACTTATTTTTGTTGGAATTCAGTAGAGTTCGTGTTTTAGGCAATTTATTTTATTTTATTACATAGTAAGGCAACCAACTCTACCGTCGGCCATTTGTTTTTATATGTCATATGATCTTTGTTTTTGCATATCGTGTTTCTGCTGTGTGTTTACGGATTAATAATCGATTAAAACGTTGTAGTGCTAGTGGTTTTTATTGCAATTGTTATTACACGTTTATTGGACTTTATTGCAATTGTTATTGTACGTTTTTTGACTTTAAATAAACGGTGTGTGTTTACGGATTAATAATCGTTTTAAACGTTGTAGTGGCAGTGGTTTATATTATGTAACACAGGTAGATGTCGTATAAAAATCCTTACCTAGAAATTCTAGGCTAGAATACAAAAATATTTTTATTATATAAATTTTGTACTAGTATTAGTTTAATACATTCTGAAGAAGCTACTGTGTAGCGAAACAATTGTCAATATTTAATAAATTTCGTGAAACTAACGCAAGTTGTTTTTATATCCACACAATTTAAATATATTTCACTTTGTACCTGACTTGCGTAAACATTTTTGTTTTTTTGTCATCAATTCTGAAATATTTGCGTTTACAGTAAAAAGAATAGTATATTCTGTAACAAGTTTGGAATACGGCATATTCCGCTCGAGTGAAAAGTCTGTCACACGAGCCGAAGGCGAGTTTAACGGTTTCACGAGAGGGGAATATGCAATTCCAAACGTGTTTCAGACTATACTTTTTCTACGTTTCCAAAAAATACCATAGACAAAGAATTTAATTGGAAGAAAGTGAGGTTGGATCGGTCTAAAATTTGTTAGATATTAAAAACAGAGATGTCGCCACGAGTGTACATTCTGTCATCAGATGATAGAATATTTCATTAAAGTTAAAAGAAAAGTTTATTTATTAATTAGTTTCTAAGAAAATTACATTTTATTTAATTATCGTAGATGTTAATTATTAAAATTTAACTTTAAAAGCAAATATATCAGAAGTATAGCAACCAACATTACACTCAAGATTTTTTACAAATACTTATGCCCCCGTTAGAACAGCACTGCACTGGTCCGTGACCTTCGATAGATTACTTCATACGATTGTGCCTGATGAGTCACGTTCATATATTCGTGGTTTCTAGTGTATGTAGTGCGATTTTAATAGATATTGTTTCATATTAATTATTATTATAATTATTAGTTAACTTTTTTATTTTAAGGGTTCCCAAAAATTTAAAAGTGTGGTTATGTAGATACTAAAAAATACTTTTTTTCTACGTATAAAGAAAATTTATCAGTATACAGGGAAAAACAAAAAGTTTATTTTTTTAATGGATCGCCCTATTATAGTATAATACATGTATTTATTTTTCGATTCCTTGTAAATTTCTAAGCATATTTCATACAACATACCATTCAACCGTTTCTAAAATATATAACTTATTTTTAAAATAATATAATATAATAATATATAAGTTGAAATAGTTTGTCTTACTCTGTATGAGTACGTCATTTTTACTTATTTAACAAGACAAATTGATATAATATCACTATAGAAATTTATTTTTAATAGAAATTTTTGTACACTGAGGTTTATTGATTTTTAACAGTTTAAAACAGCATTTAATGATAACATTTCAAATGCGAATATTTCAGAAACGGTTGAATTTGCGTATATGGTTTGTTATATGTTCAGAATTTTATAAAGAATCGAAAAATAAATTCATATATAGGGTGATCCATTGAAAAAAATAAACTTTTTGTTTTTCCCAGTATATTGATCAATTTTCCTTTTTTTTTATACGTAGAAAAAAAATTATTTTTTAGTACCTACATAACCAACCTTGGAGTTCATATGCTGCTCTTTAAGACACTCTGGATGGCGACACTTGTTCTTGTCATAAATTGTTTTGTTTATTTTTTTCATAAAATCAAAAACAAACGTTTTTTTTATTTTTTTTTAATAAAAAAAACATTTTGTTTGTTTTTTTAAATTTGATAAAAAACGTTATACTACAAAAATTACATATATTGTATTGTTATTGGAAAATAAGATGAAATTGGCGTTAAACTGACAGATACATCAATTATTTGACCAAATTCCTTTCCCCCCCAAAATCACAACAATTTCCGAAAACCCCCTTCATGGATCTGTTACCGACAATGTTGTGAAACCCAAAAGTTGCAAGATCTGTGTGTAAGATCGTGGTATAAACACATTACTTAGGAATAGAATACTATGCATAACTTCAGAATATCTCAATACTGTTAATTTACCTATGCATTTTTGTATTTTTAGATAGATCGCTTTTTACTCAACTTGAATTGTTATGAAATTGCTATTTCCGGGAAAAACTTTTTTAAAATTACTAGAAGTCTCATTCTAAATGTAAGTATTATTTTAAAATTTAAATAAAAACACAAAATAAATAATAAACAAATAAACTTACCTTTTTAGATAGCTGGGGCAATTGTGACATATGAATTAGTTTTAATTCAGTTTTCAGGAATATTACGTTAATGTAATTAAATATTTTAATTACTATAATTTATTTAAACAATACATTATGTATTTGAAAACAAAATATAGCGCATTCTACAAAAAAACAAAAATTCTGGATTAAAACGAAATATATCCCTGACTTGTCAATACAATTAAATCAGGTAATTTTAACCGTTAAAAATGACAAATATCTTTTTTATCGTCAAAAATATGCTTGAACCGGGAATTAACACTGATAGATAGTAAAACAGCAAAATCCGATTGAATGCTTAATAAATACTACAGTAAAATATGAGTAAGCATTTAGGTTAAATACAGACCAAAAGTTAACTCTATTCGGAATGTACAAATGGTAAATGGTGAGGATGTTAAATACAGGATTAAATATAAATTTGCGCCGCCTAAGCTTAAATTTTTTATCTAAACTGAAAAGAGAATCCACCTGGGAAACCGCCGCCTCCAAAATTAAAATCGGAACCGCCTCCAGGGAAAAATTGTTGAAAAACTTGGGTGGGGTCAATATCTGAAAAAACAATTAAATTGTAATTATAAGGTTTACCAAATAAATGTTAACAAAATTAAGGTGTATGAATCAATAAACCCCCACAATTTTCAATAATCGTTTTTGGATTGTAAAGATAAATTTAACCTAATTTTGACATTAAACGGTGTTATGCAACATGAAACCAACCCTAACTTTTGCCAAACAGATA